CATTGAATACATTGCTGTTGTAGGGCTGTATACACACATTTCCTGTTACAGATTTAGGCTCCTTTGGAAGAACCTTCCTTTTAATAAATTGTAAATGCTTTGTAGGAATGACTTAATCACTAATTTTACAGGATTATCTGAGTGCAAGATATGACAAAGATGTGCATGTGACTTATTTGCTCATTCTGGATTTAATGTGACAAACAGAAATGGATCACATTATACAGATATTACTTTCTTTATAGTGGCACAGTATACCACATGGAAAACTGCATCAATTTGTGTTAGAGAGTTACCATTACTAACATATGGGGAACTAAACAAAGAAAGTGAATGTCAGAACAAACACAAAACTGAACAAAGATAGCATAAACTAAGTGTTACTAACCCGCATCAAAGAAGAGAACACAAAACTCATGTTACTCACTTACATTCTGTGTTTAATGTGAGCTTGTTGGTATTAGTCTCCGGAAGGGAGGTTTGTTCTTTTACTTGCTACGCTAACATATGGGTAAAGCTTCTCCAAGATGCCATATATTCTGATTTATGGCCCGTACACACAATAAGAGAAATTTTCATATGTGGAACAATCAACCGATTATTTGATTGTTAGTCTAATGCTTTCAACAGCCAATTCCAACTTTTTGGACAACAGAAACTGAGAATGCAAGCAAAAAGTTTTTATGGTACATGAACAAAATGTCTGATATCCATTTAATGTGTACAGTAATCGCACAGAAATAATCAGATAGAAAAATTGTGCTTGATCAGAAGTATAGAACAACCCTACACTTCCTCTTCTACTACACTAGTACATAGCTACAGTATGTTTGCCTTAGTCGAACCAGTGTCAGTACGTCAGTACCATTCCAACTGCATCATGATATGCACATTCATGGAAAATTGGATGATTGGTTGTGCGATTTTGTCACAGTGTGTGCTAGGCTTTAGATACCTTTGAAGCAAAGCTGGCCTAATTTTGTATAAAGTGGTGCATTGTGCTGTGTTTCAGTATACTGTAGAACAGGAGCATTTTGAAGGTGCATTGGGATGCCATTCATAATGAATGACACTGCTTTATATGCTATCAAGCCACGTTACTGCAACCTAATGGTGTGAATACACCCAAGGTTACTTTTATTAGTTTCCCACTTTCTTTTTTTGTATGGTTCATTTCATAGCTCTATACAAGTTTTTGTTTTTCTTCTGCCATTTCTTTTGAGGGAAAAAAGTTGTGTACCACGCTATAAAATTTCATGATGATATATATATTATATATATATATAGATATAGATATACAGAATAGTGTGGGCTGAAAACCAGAATGCAAGTTATAGAAAAGATTAGAGAGTGCGGCGGTTGCATAAGATAAGTATTGTCGAGCAAGATATTAGAAGAGATATATAAAATCATGCTATATTTTTTCAAGTCTGTTTCTACTGATTATAGACCTGAGAAATATAATTAAAAAATGCTCCACCCCCTTCACTTTCTCCTTTCTAGAAATACTAATCAATAATTTACTTCCTATTATGAGTAACTATGTCTTGAAATATGTCGATGTAGTGCTGGCAAGTGAGTAGAAAACTGTATTTTTGGCAATTGGTAAAGGATGTTTGTTCATGCTTGCCGTCAGAAATTTCTACATGTTGTCGTGAACTTCTGCCATGTTACCATTGTCAGTTAACAGAATCTTCTCTGGCATAGAACCAAGAGCCGTGACACTTTCCCAGTTGACCTTTGAAGATATCAAAGCAACATCACATGACAGAGCTGCAGGAGACAACTGGGAATACATCATTGCTCTGAGAGCCGAACCATGAGCTTCCCTGTATGCTCTGTACATAAAGTGAACATGACATTATCACACCAGACATCAGTAATAGTATATACTATTCTACCTGCAAGTCATTTTGCTGCCCTGGGCTTATTTTACAGCTACCAGCTACTTGTTTACTTTCTTGTTTAGCACTGCCTTACATACTATGACAGCTATAGTTATTTGGTGCCTTTGAGTTTTGACATTTTCTGTTATTCTTTGTAATTGTAATACTGGATCATAGATGGTAAAGGCTCTGGTGATTACATGGAATGTTTAACTGGATGAAACTGGGAAGTAGTTAAAATTTTCCAAGGAATATAGAGACACATAACAGATGTTCTTCCAGGTAAACATACTGTAGGTGGACCATGAGCTCTCCATAGTGACAAAGTGATTTCAGGGTTAGGAACATACCGTAGTGGGGCTTTATGATTATGCAACCTCCAAGAAAATGTAATTCGGCGTCCATGATTCAGAAAGTGTGATAAACATGAAGAGGTGTTTAGTTACACAGAGTAGTGTTAACAGCAACCTCTGCAATCCTTAGGCAGGCCAAAGATTATGTGATGTTCTTTCCTATAACCATGGGTCGAAGGAAAGAAAACTGCTTGATTCCCTCCTGTGGAGCTACTGTGCTCTCCTGGCAGAGGGGAGGGGGGGGGGGTGCAGAGAGCTGTCCCTGCAGGGAGAACACAATGATTACTGCTAGTGGCTATTGCCGCTATCAATAGTTGCATGATATAAATCCGACATGCTGGTTGTAGCAAAGTCGATCCATAGATTTACTTGGGTACAATCAACATGCCCATAAATGGATCAAACCTCGGCTGGCCCCTGCTGAACCAGCCAAAATTCGATCCATCTATAGCCAGATTTATTAATACAGTGATAGATATGTGTTATCTTCACATGTACACAAATTTATTATGTTTAAATTGCCTCAACAAACCTTTTAACGGGGTCCTCTTTCACCCCCAAGTGCCATAGCAGCTGCCTGGGCTAAGTTGAAAAGAGCAATTACTCATTCATCAAATTAGATGATCTAGGCCTGTTCCAACAAGAACCAACTACAGTTTCAGCTTGGACCACTGTACAGCATAACCCAACTTTGGATCCATATTACAATAAATATAATCATATTCCTTTTCTACCCAGACACACCTATTCTAGATCTTGGTTCTAAAATTTAACAACAACAACAACATACATAACTGCAGCTTAATTTGTTGACCCAAAACAACTTCTTATCCATCTGAAAGGTTTTTGCAGCTCAATCATTTCCCAAACAATAGGCCTAATTATGTTGTAATATTTTTAGAATGAATCTAAGAAGCATAATTGTGTTCTATTTCACAGTAAACAAAATAAACATATTTGAGAGAAAATGTTATGGATGTAGCTTGTCCCATGATGATATATATTTTTCTGTATTTGAAATCCAAGTCTGTATTATGGCTGCCATGGAAACAACCTGACCTTTGATTTCCTGATGATTTTATCATTTTAGATTCTTTTCACAGCAATGTATTTATTTTTAGTATAATAGAAATATCACAGAAAGTCTCTTCTGACAGATACGCAGGCATTTGGAAATCATCATGTTTTTAATGCATTGTTTTTAAAAAAAATACACATCAGAATTGCATCTATTTCCTTTTTTTTTTTTTACAGTTGTTAGGAACACAGGAGAAATTGATAGACTTGTGAAATTCCTTTTGGCATCTGCTGCTTATTATGTGCTTCACTTATTGAATGTACAAATACAATTCTTTACAAAGTATGCATTTAAATGAAAGTCCCTCATTTTTTTCAATTCTATTCAACAAATTACATTTTCCCTTACTTTAGAGAAGGAGTCTAAGGCATGTACTGATGTTACAAACAAAGCACTGAGGATTTGTTCTGAAAAAAAGTTTTTTTTTATTGTTATTTTTTTAATTCACAATATTTAAAGGAAATCTTCATTTTCATTGAATACTTAAATCTTTTAAAAATATTATAAATCATGGTTACACAACCCATTCTGTAATTTGTTATTAAAAATTACTTTATAGTTCTATCTGCAGTCACTTGTAATTTATTAGTGTTATCTCTTACCATTACAAGTATATTGGGTATTTAATTTTTAGGCAGGCTTTCCATGCATCCTTAAAAGAAAAAAAAATAACCCATTCTGATTGGGGAAATCATGCTCTGTGAAAGAGGGTTTATCCCTCAATATGTGTTAGAATTTTGTGTTCGTATATGAGTAAAGCCCAGGTCTCTGAAAGTGATATCCACTTCCCAGTTCTGATGTCAGTACTTGTTTTTTTTGTGATTGAACACCTTTAGCCATATGGCTTTTGCTGTAAGGTAATGCACTAGGCACTTTTTGCTATATATTCCATGCATCCTTACTTTAATGCAACTGTGGTTTGCTCACTTTCTCTCTCAGAAGTTTGAACAGAGCATGACACCAAATTGCATGGTATATTGCATCCTAGCATCTTCAGCAATTTCTACTGCCCTGGGAAGTCCGCCCTTGGTATGAAGCATACATGTCTGAAGAAAAGTCATGGATGCAATGTTTCAAACTACAATACTTGAACTGACTTTTTATTATAATAAAGGAAGAAACATCTTTATTTGACAGATATAGCCATTGTGATATAATGGATTTTCTCAATTTCCACAGAACAGAAACTGGTAATGAGCTGCAATAAGAATTGCAGAAAATTGAGTACACTGTATAGTGCTCAGCATAAATGAGTGCACCCCTTGTGAAAAGTACGATTTTAATCAATATCTCAATGAACAGAAGAACAATTTCCAAAATTCTGACAAAACTAAGTTTTTATAGAACACGTGTTTAGCTCGTTACATTACAGTAAGGTTAATAATATAACTTAGATTACAAAATCTTCAGTTTTACTCAAATTAGTTGATGCAAAAATGACTACATCTAGTATTTTGTATGACCTCCATGAATTGTAAGGACAGCACCAAGTCTCTTAGGCAAGTTGGTGACATATTGCAACACCTATCTTTTTCCATTCTTCAAGAACAACCTTTTTTAGAGCCTGGATGCTGGATGGAGAGTGATGCTCAACTTGTCTCTTTAGAATTCCCCATAGGAGTTTGATTGGGTTCAGATCAAGAGACATAGTTGGCCACTGAATCACTTTCACCCTGTTCTGCTTTAGAAATGCAACAGTGGCCTTAGACGTGTGTTTTGAATCATTGTCATGTTGGAAAAGTGCATGACGACCAAGGGCACGGAGTGATGGTAGCATCTTCTCTTTCAAAATAGAGCAGTACATCTGTGAATTCATGATACCATCAATGAAATGCAGCTCCCGACACCAGCAGTACTCATGCAGGACCCACAGAAGGACACTGCCAGCATAATGTTTCACTGTAGGCACCATGCATTTTTCTTTGTATTCCTCACCTTTGCGATGCCACACAGTTTTGAAGCCATCAGTTCCAAAAACATTTATCTTGGTATCATCACTCAAGAGTACACAGTCCCAGTAGGCTTCTTCTTTTTCAGCATGGGCCCTGGCAAATTCTATGCATTTTTTTTGTTCAAGGGCTTTAGGACAGGCATCCTTTGTAGATGACACCCATGCATGTCATTCCTCTGTGGTGTCACAGGAAATAATCACTGCAGTTTGGCTTTCTACTTCTTTAGATAACTGCAGTGAACGTGCATGGAGATTTTCTTCAACCCTTCTCATCAGAAGACACTCCTGTTGAGGTGTTAACTTCTGTGGAGAGCCTAAGCATCTCTGTGAGATGGTTGCAGTTCCCTCTTTGTTACATTTTTGTATCACTTTTGCCACAGTATTCTGACTGATAATTAAAGCTTTGCTGGTCTTCTTGTAGCCTTCACCTTTCTTGTGAAATTATTTTCTTTCTCAGGCCTTGTGACATCTCTCTTTCATGTGGTGCCATTGCTGACAGCATGAAATGGGAAAAGGTTTTCTTTGTTAAGTAACACTCTTTTATAATCATCTGTCTGCCGGACACCTGTTTAATGAATAATTAGACTCACCTGTAGTTGAATTCTTGTTAATTAGGATTTTTTTTGTCTAAAATTTAGCTTTGCTCCTAAGACTTTCATTGGGGTAGATTCAGTTTTGCAACATGGTCTTGAATTAATTTGTTAAGAAAAATACTTTTTTTTGTGTGTGCAAATTAACAAATTTTGTTTGCAATCAATAACCCACATTTCCTGGAGCATTTTGTACTATAGTGCCCCACAGAAAATGTTGATCCTCAAAGGAAAGTAAAGGTTTTCTGACAAATCTGTTGGGGTGTACTCATTTATGCTGAGCACTGTATATAGTATACCTGGAGAGGATTTTTTTAATATAACAAAACTAGAGTTTATTTTACATGCTTTAATTTATTTATAACTGATAAATCAGAAACTTTCCTGTTCAGATTCTCTTCCTTGTTGCTTTTAATAAGGTGCATTTTCTCCCTCATATTGTTAAAGCAATTGTTAATTTTTCAGATCCCTTTTAGTAATATATTTTGAGTAAAAAAATCTAGAATTGAGAGCAGGATGTGTTTGTACTGCATGTGGCAGGTGAGTGTACAAGAGCTTGTCTAGGTGGTAATATGAGTAATAGAGGTAATCCTGGCCCACTGTTTCAAGGAGGTTCATATATTTGACATATAAAACCAGTAAACAAATAATATTGACATACATTTACCAGCCACTTTCTTAAGTACACCTGTTCAATTGCTCGGTAACACAGATTGCTAATCAGCCAATCATTTGGCAGCAACTCAATGCATTTAAGCATCTAGATGTGGTGTAGAAGACTTGCTGAAGTTCAAACTGAGTATCAGAATGGGAAATAAAGGGATTTAAGTGACTTGAATGTGTCATGGTTGTTGGTGCCAGACGGGCTGGTCTAAGTATTTCAAAACTGCTGGTCTACTGGGATTTTCACATGCAAGCATCTATAGGGTTTACAGAGAATGGTCCGAAAAAGAGAAAATATCCAGTGAGTGGCAGTTGTGTGGATGAAAATGTCTTGTTGATGTCAGAGGTTAGAGGAGAATGGGCAGACTGGTTTGAGATGACAGAAAGGCATGCTATCATGTCAATATGGACCCAAATCTCTGAGGAATGTTTCCAACACTTTGTTGAATCTATGCCATGAAGAATGAAGGCAGTTCTGAAGGCAAAAGGGTTCCATCCCAGTACTAGCAAGGTGTACCTAATAAAGTGGCCGGTGAGTGTAAAAAGTGAAATGAGGATTGAGGGGCTTGTATATTTTGTATGTCTTGCTCCACTGGCAGATACTTATCATTATTTTCATGGTCATACCAAAGAGTAATGAGGGATTGCCAATTGCAGTAGGCAAAAGCAACCAGTAGGTTTTTCACTTTGCTTGATTTAGATTAGTTACATTCTGCAAATATGAGTTCTATACCTTCTTAAGTATGCCTGTATGTAGTTGTTACCTTTGTATCAACATGCACTCCAGTCTGACATGTATTGTAAACACCAGCAGGGCAAAGGAGAATGAGCACAACTGAAATACATCGTTCATTATTTGAACAGGAACTACAATGCTAATCAATAGGTACAATGATATTCATATAATGGAAAAAGGAAAGTCAAGCATAAAGCTGCTGGCATTTTCATGATTGATTCGAATAGTCCCACCTCTTAGAGAGACAGGGCATTAAGACAAAGTACAGCATTAGAGTATTAAGTGTACCTAATGACACAAAGCTAAATTTAAAAGGACAATGCTTTTTACTTATTCTTAAAAGGACATTGACATTATTTAGGTTACCTTTGACTTGTATATGCAATGCAATCAGCTTTAAACACTATAAATCATTGTCTATCTATCTATCTATCTATCTATCTATCTGCCATTCTTTGGCAATATATTCAATATATTTATTTCTAACTTTAACTTTCTAGGTAGTCATCTTTTTCTGAAAAATCATTCCAGCACCATGGACACAGGAAACTGCAGGTTTAAGCCGTCCACACTGCTCATCCAAAGAGAAATTGCATATACGTAGGATTTTATTAATGAAATATTTTTGTAAGCAATGCAGTTAGCAGAATATAAGGCAATAATGTAGATAATTTTTAAAGCTGTTTTCTTTTTTCAGATGTGTTTTGAACATTATAAAATCTGCTCTAAAAAAGCTCCGAATTGCACTGTTTAGTAAGCTTGATGGCCCTTTCACCAAATTATATGTCCCTGCATTCCATTTCAAACTACACAATTTAAATTTGTGTAATGTTTTTAAAGTGGTAGTAAAACACACACACATTAAAAAATGGGCCCCTGCAGAATAATGTCGTAATGTGTTAGTATGCACCACATATTCATACATTATGATAGACTTACCTTAAAAGGAAGTCCTCCAGTTGTGCGCTGCGATTATGTCATGGCTGCAGCACAAAGCAGCCGGTGAAATCATTGGCTGCTGCTAAAGAAAGTATCTCCTAAACATGCACATTTTAGGAGATATTTACAGTATCTAGACTGCTTTAATGTAATGTTGAAATGCTGATTAGTAATTTAGTTATATTTAAATGAAGGAAAACACTTGGTTTGTTTTGGTGCCAGTCGAATAATGACTAATTCTGTTACTCAAGGGCACCCCAGAAGCCACTGAAGTCTGAACTCCTGGCAAAGGGTGAAATACTCTCATATTTCCATAGGGGACTATGTGCATGGGAGCTGTCAAGAATACACAAATTTATATTTATGTCAATCCAGTCTTGAGATTTACAAATTATAGCCAGATAGTACAGCCCAGTTGGAGACCTAACCTTTCTTTACTACATTTAAGCAAAACAGAAAGGTCACCTGCCTACCCCCCAGCCTGGGAATATGCAGTGAAGGAGTGGCAGAAGACCAATGAGTTAATTCTGCTGGTCACTCTTCCTTCCTTGCTCCTTCCTCATGCCAGTATGTTACTTGTCAGCACATGTGCACTGAAGCCATACCTGATTGGCCACTAGCGCCCCTCATTCCACCAGAATGCTTTTGTACAGCAAAATGCAGGAGAGAAATTCAGATACAGAAGGTAACTGCCTTTAAAGATAAATCTAATTATTTTGTAAATAATACATAACTCAATTATGTTTTGTTGTATCTACTTGGAGATCATTTTTTTAATTTGTTTTTATTTTTTAGTCAATACTGAGGACTGCCTGCAGCACATCTCACAATGCAATTCAGGGCCTCAAACACCCACCAAAAGATGCCATGCTGTCTGGAAAAAACATGCAAAAATGTACCAGTCCCTTATATTTTAAATACAATGTCTCAGTGAGAATTTACAAAATAGTTTATGAACCCTTTCCCATTTCCAATGGGACCATTTAGGGGTGCCCGTTATTTCCACTCAGGTTCATACTTTCCTTACCTTATAAAATCCCACACAGATACCATGGAACTAAACACAAAACATAGACCATGTAAAGTAACGACATATGCTGATGATCTCATCTTCTTTGTCATCTCACTAATCATTTCGATTGCCATTCTGCTTTCAGAACTAGAATTGTATGGCAGTCTCTCTTAAATCTCTTTTCCTCCAGACGTAAAGAGTGCCCCCTTGTCCTCTCTGATGACCTCAGGGTGAATAACTCTACACCGAGTTCACTATATGAACCACTTATGTATTTATACATATCGATCATATCACCCTAAATCTCCTCTATCTCAAGAGAGAATAGTTACATAGTCTGGCAGAAAAAAAGACAAGTCCATCCAGTTCAACCATTTAAAAAAAAAAAAAAGTTATAATCCTATACCCACAGTTGATCCAGAGGAAGGCAAAAAAAACCCAACAAAGCATGATCCAATTTGCTCCTGCTGGGGAAAAAAAAATCCTTAATTCAGTTCCTACAATCTTTCCTCATATCTGAGCTCCTCCATGCCTCTTATCAGTTTGGTTGCCCTTCTCTGTACTTTCTCCAGTTCCCCAATGTTCTTTTTGTGAATTGGTGCCCAAAACTGAACTGCATATTCCAGATGAAGTATTACTAATGATTTGTATGGGGTAAAATGATCTATCTCTTTCTGGAGTCCATACCTCTTTTAACACAAGAGAGTATTTTGCTCATTTTAGAAACTGCAGCTTGGCATTGCATGCCATTATTATGCTTGTGATCTAGCAAAACTCCCAGATCCTTCTCCACCACTGATTCCCCAGTTGTTCTCCCCCAGTATGTATGATGCATGCATAATCTTACATTTATCAACATTAAACCTCATTTGCCACATAGTTGCCAAATTGAATAGTGCATTGAGGTTGGCTTGTAAGTTGGAGACATCCTGTAAGGACGTTATTCCACTGCACAGCTTGGTGTCATCTGCAAAGACTGAAATGGTATTTATAATCCCAGACCCTATATCGTTTATAAATATATTAAAAGTAAGGGTCCCAACACTGAACCTAGGGGTACACCACTGACAACCCTAGACCATTCAGAGTATGAATCATTAACCACTACTCTCTGAATACAACCTTTTAGCCAGTTTTCTATCCATTTACATAC